CTTCACGCTGGTCGGCGTTCAATCCCCGACCGTGCTACTTGCCCCGCTCCTGTGCCAGGTAAGTCCACTACGGGCTCGCCATAGCCCGTGCTACTTGCCCCGCTCCTGTGCCAGGTAAGTCCACTACGGGCTCACCATAGCCCGTGCTACTTGAAACTTGTTCCCAGTAGCTGAATCTTATACAACAACAACAACGTCTAGTAGCCATTTCTCAGACCATCTCGCGAGGTTGTCTAGTTCAGTTTTGCAATGTATGGCAATCCTCTCATGTTTTCATTCGCCTCAGTAGTTTAGCATCATCAGCAGACATTGATAAGGATGAGTTTAATTACTCCTTGTATTAAAGCGTATATACATAGATTAGTAACAGAATGGGACCCCTTAGTACCGAACCTTGAGGCACTCCACTGTTACCTCTATCTGTCTTGATAGAGGTCTCTCTCTCTGTCTGTCTGTCTGTCTCTCTCTGTCTCTCTCTCTCTCTCTCTCTCTCTCTCTCTCTCTCTCTCTCTCTCTCTCTCTCTCTCTCTCTCTCTCTCTCTCTCTCTCTCTCTCTCTCTCTCTCTCATGTGTGTACAGCCTGGTGTGAGTGTGTTGGGGCCACACACGACCAGTTGGGTGTCTGGTCGCCTGGCTGTTGTTGTTGTTTAAGATTCAGCTACTGGGAACAACAAAGAGTTCCAAGTAGCACGGGCTATGGTGAGCCCGTAGTGGACTTACCTGGCACAGGAGCGGGGCAAGTAGCACGGGCTATGGTGAGCCCGTAGTGGACTTACCCGGCACAGGAGCGGGGCTGTAACTGCCTGGCTGGCTCTCCGCTTGGCTTATATTCCTTCATTTACTTTGCAGTGCAGATGGAACCGCGTGTCGTTTAAGGTGGTGGTGTGGGGGACCGGGGAAGACGGGGAGGTGACAGTGGGAGGGGTGACAGTGGGAGGGGTGATAGTGGGAAGGGGTGACAGGGGGTGACGGTAGGGGTGAGCCAGACAGAGCTGTGACCCCACACCTCGACTACTACTTTCTCTCTCCACTGCTTCACTGTCTCTTACTTCCTGGCTTCCTCCTGTCATCTTAATGACTCTATATATATATATATATATATATATCTTGACCTCTATATGCATATCTATATATATATACAGGATATATAGTTGTATTGACCCCGAGACGTGAGGCAGCATAGGTTTCTATTGATCAACCTGTTTCGCCTCTGGCAATATTTACAGCCTCAGAGAGCAGAATTAAAACGCCTTCTGGGGAAATATCTTAAGAAGTTTAATTTCTTATTCTCTCCTATCACGCCAAGTTTTTTTTGTTTAGAAAATTTTACAAAACGTGTCTATGAGGAATGTGTTGAACTCTCTCTCTCACCAGTCACTTAAGAGGCAGTGTGAGTGTGGCAGGTTACAGCTGGCGTTTCCTCTCTGAACTGCACCACTTGAAATGCTGGAATAAGGGATTCGTCACTTTTGGATCCTTATGTTTCCATAGCTGGTTTATAACCCACTCATTCTAGCACCTGAGGCCTCCGGAGAGTTCCAGGAGACCTCCAGAGAGTTCCAGGAGGCCTCCGGAGAGTTCCAGGAGGCCTCCGGAGACTTCCAGGATGCCTCCGGAGACTTCCAGGAGGCCTCCGGAGACTTCCAGGATGCCTCAGGTGCCTCCTGAAACTGGAGAGCTCAGTTGTTGCATGATCTTTGCATGGAAACCTCCGTTGCATGATCAAAGACTCTATGAAGCTAGTAGTGATCCCTTCCAATCAGATCTGTTGTAGCAGAGGCGAGTGTCAGCCGTTGGTAAAACAGGAAGAGATGTTGGGGCGTGTTAATGTATAGGTACCATAGAATTAGTCGACTGTTGTGGGTTGCATCTCGAGCAAGGGCAGCCGTTAGCCTAGGGAAGACCTGGATGAACCTAATAGGTTCACTGTCCCCCCGGACATTAGGGGAAAATCGCTTGAGCTAGGGGGATTTTTCCCCTAGATCACTAGCAAGACCAAGGTTAGGGGAAGAGTTTACGGGCTATTCATGCCCGTGCCACCTTTTGGGTGGCTTAATCTTCATGAATCAAACAGTGGAAGAGTAAGAGAGGGGCGGCGGTAGTGTGGTCAAAGGGCAGAGAAGGGGAAGAGCGGGAAAGAAAGAAAAGGGAGAGGAGATATAAACTGAATATTGAAAGAATGAGCTGAAGAAAACGAGTTGGTTAGGGAAAGTGGGAAAGGGAAATTGGAGAGAGACAGCTGTGTGAGAAGGGGGGAGTGGGAGGGAAAGCAGGGGAAGGGGTGTCTGGGAGGGGATGGAAGGGGGCGGGGGGGGGGCAGAGGTAAAGATAAAAAACTAAATGAAAGTTACGTTACTCTTGAGTTTTCCACTTATTCGCTCTGTTTCTTGGACATTTGTTGGTGTTCACAAGTTCACATCTTGTGTGTGAGTTCAAGTCCCGTGTTCTCTCCCTTAAAAGTGTTCACATTTGCGTTACTTTTAGCACGTTGCGGTCCGAACGCGGGTTCAAATCCACCGCCCTGCTCCAAAGATATATTGATCCATTAATCTGTTGTGTCTCTGGTAAGCATCTTAAGTTGTTGCTTGGTAAAGCGTCCGTTATTTATCACGATTTTTAATTAAACGTGGTTATAATTTTTTTAATTAAATTGTTAATTTAATTTAATTTTAATTAATTCAAATAAATTATTTAATTAAGTTGTTGGAATAACGATTAGATCCAGTCTTTAATTCTTTTCCAAACTTTAAGTTACTGCAAGACGGGTCTAAGGTACTTAGCGTCTTTGAGAAGTTGACAGTGATCTTGGTGCAATTTTTGCAATATACTCATGAGTTAAAAGCATTTCTCAAGGTAATTAGCATATCATTCGTATACTTTCATATATGGAATTCGTACACAGAGGTCTGTAGGGAAAGTTACCTTGCTCTATATTGCCCAACTTGTTTCGTATTTTGGCTCTATTTCATGCAGTGTGTGAGGTCCTTAATTGTGAAATTAGCTGCTAGTTGGCCCTATGGGAGCCGGTCGGCCGAGCGGACAGCACGCTGGACTTGTGATCCTGTGGTCCTGGGTTCGATCCCAGGCGCCGGCGAGAAACAATGGGCAGAGTTTCTTTCACCCTATGCCCCTGTTACCTAGCAGTAAAATGGGTACCTGAGTGTTAGTCAGCTGTCACGGGCTGCTTCCTGGGGGTGGAGGCCTGGTCGAGGACCGAGCCGCGGGGACACAAAAGCCCCGAAATCATCTCAAGATAGATAACCTTCCCCTTATGAGAGGCTTGTCTTAGTGAGTTTATGAGAATGTTGAGAAACATATGTGAGTAAGATATGTCTGGGATGCTCTCGGACGTAAGTTCGAATCCTCGTCACGGCCCTTGTGGATTTGCTTATATCTGAGGGAGCTTTGGAGTCACGTCTGAGTGAGTTTATGAGAGGGTTGTGTTTGCTGAGATTTCTAGACGCTGTTTCTATGGTATGGAAAGTGTTTGTGTCTTGTATGTATTTTATTTGTTTGTTAGTTGGGCCCACAGTTTGTGTATATATATAATATATATATATATATATATATATATATATATATATATATATATATATATATATATATATATATATATATATATATGTCGTACCTAGTAGCCAGAACGCACTTCTGACCCTACTATGCAAGGCCCCATTTGCCTAATAAGCCAAGTTTTTCTGAATTAATATTTTTTCTCTAATTTTTTTCTTATGAAGGCTATGCTTATGATAAAGCTACCCATTTCATTAAGTATGAGGACAATTTTTTGTTATTGGAGTTAAAATTAACGTAGATATATCACCGAACCTAACCAACCCTACCTAACCTAACCTAACCTATCTTTATAGGTTAGGTTAGGTAGCCGAAAAAGTTAGGTTAGGTTAGGTTAGGTAGGTTAGGTAGTCGAAAAACAATTAATTCATGAAAACTTGGCTTATTAGGCAAATCGGGCCTTGCATAGTTGGCTGACAAGTGCGTTCTGGCTATTAGGTACGACATATATATATATATATATATATATATATATATATATATATATATATATATATATATATATATATATATATATATATATATATATATATATTACGTGGTTAAACTAATGTACATGTGTGTGATTTTTATTTTCTTGGTAGTAAAGAGTTAAAATATTGTATTATCGTACGTGATATTGTATAAATAAAATAATGTATTTCGTTCATGCGCGTAAGGAACCTCAGTATGTATGTATGTATTAGTTTGTATGAGACTGCTAGATTTACACTCGTATGAAGAGGTTGCAACTACACGGACTGCATTCGCAATAGCGTTGTGTGTGTGTGTGTGTGTGTGTGTGTGTGTGTGTGTGTGTGTGTTGACATTAGCTTCAGTATTTGGGGTGTTGATTGCGTGTGTGCCAGTGAGCACTTACGTATGGCTCAATGGATGTCAGACAAGGGATTGCATCATTGCAAAGAGTGGCTGTTGCTAAGTAGCTTCCTGTCTCCCTCTTACATTCACTTACACAGGGTTCAGTAGCGTCATTTTCTGCTGCTACTGGGTTCAGTAGCGTCATTTTCTGCTGCTACTGGGTTCAGTAGCCTCATTTTCTGCTGCTACTGGGTTCAGTAGCGTCATTTTCTGCTGCTACTGGGTTCAGTAGCCTCATTTTCTGCTGCTACTGGGTTCAGTAGCCTCATTTTCTGCTGCTACTGGGTTCAGTAGCCTCATTTTCTGCTGCTACTGGGTTCAGTAGCCTCATTTTCTGCTGCTACTGGGTTCAGTAGCCTCATTTTCTGCTGCTACTGGGTTTAGTAGCCTCATTTTCTGCTGCTACTGGGTTCAGTAGCGTCATTTTCTGCTGCTACTGGGTTCAGTAGCCTCATTTTCTGCTGCTACTGGGTCAAGGGGGCCATCTTCTCCTCATATTCCCTCATAGAAGGTTCTCCTGCTGGTCATATTCACTCACAAGAAAAAGGATGAGAAGGGAAACTACAGAATTTTACAAAAAAATGTTTCTATTTCATCTTAAGAATAGTAGTATAAATAAATAATATTATAGGCAATATGTACATAGATTGGTATAAATAGTAGCATATATACAAAACTAAATCTGAATATGATAAAAATAAGTTATTGTGTAAGAGTAGTTGACCAACACCGGGTCCCAACACCTGTACAATATGCACAAAACAAGCCTTGCTAAATAACAGAGTACAGCGACGAAGTGATCCTAGAGGAGCTTAGCAGGTCGACCTCGGCCGCAAGCGGCTTCCAGTGCACTTCGAGGAGACTATAGGCACGTTAAGAGAGAAAGCAGGCAGGAGCCCCCCACCTGGGGAGAGTACACTGTCCGGTCAAGGCTTGGAGTGTCCGTATCCGCCGGGAAGTGGGTGAGATGGTGCGGATTACGTACACCTGTGAGAGTTTGTGTGGTGACAGGGGGATATGAGCGCCCCACACCTGTCCTAGCCACACTAGGGGGTAGGGGGAGATCTCCCTACATAATGGGGGGTGTCAGAAACACCTGCACCACGCCCATTAGCTGCTGTTGTTGTCCTGTGTAGTGCTGATGCGTCGTCGGGCCTCAGCGCTGAAGCCTTTAGAGCCGTCGGGACCTTTGGGGAACCGGACGACGCCGTCGGGGAGGAAGAGAGATCCCTGTGAGACCCTGTTAGGCCGGGTGACCGGGGGCCGAGAGCCCACCACAGGAGACGCGGCCGAGGCTGCGGACGCCGCAGCGGCGGCCAAGAGGTGCCTCTGCACCCAGGAGGACGACGAGGGCGGCGACCCCAGCTGGAACTCCGTGCAGGACTTGCTCTTGGGGCGATTCCTGCGGGCCTCGACCACGGCGGAGAGTTCCTTCAGGTTAGGAGACTGCGTCTGCGGCAGTGAGAGACACTTGCGGCGCGGGTACCGCTGGTAGCCGCAGTCGCTGTCGGAGGTGGTGCTGTCCTTGCGGGTCTTGCCCGCGGTGCTGTTCTTGCGGCTGGCGGGACCCTTCTGCTGCTGGTTGCTTATGACGCTGTTCTTGCGACTGTTGGGCTGCGAGGTCTTCTGCTGCTGGATCTTCTCCTGCTTCTTCTGAGCCTCGGGGAGGATGGGCACCACCTTCATCCCGTCCTCGTTGGACATCTCCGTGGCGGCCTTGGCGGCCTCGGGCACCTCGAACTCCACCCAGGCGCAGTTGGTGTCCGTGAGCGCCGGGTGCTTGGCGGTGAGGCCCTTGAGATCCTGCGGGAGGGCGCTGCCGGCGCGCACCACCCTGATGAAGGCGATCTCCCCGCAGGAGGAGAACAGCTCGGAGACCGACTGTATGCTGGGCTTCTCCAGCTGGAGCCCGAGGACCAGGACGGCGCAGGTCACCGGGACCTCCTCCAGGTCCGGCAGCGGCTCCACGCGACGGATCTTGGTGCCCACGTCGTTGATCTGGATCTTGGAGGAGCAGCGGTTGAGGGCGTGGGCCACCACCCTCCAGTCCTTCGTCAGCTGCTTCACCTTCTTGAAGGACGACACCAGCTTGAGGGACACGTAGCCCTCCTTGTTGCGACGGATGTGCTTGAGCAGGAACTTGTCCTTGGCGACGTTGGCGTCGCTGAAGTAGAACTCCACCTGGGCGACGATGCGGGTCATGAGATCTTCGTCGGGGACCACCATGTCGGGCTCCCGCTCGGCCTCGATGCCGGAGTCCCGACCGCCTTCCTCGCTGCCGTCGGACACGACGCTCGACGACCTCTCCGAGCGGGGCTCGAGCTCGGACCCGTCCTGCGGCTCCTGGCCCTCAGGCTCGAGGCCCTCAGGGGCGGAGTCCGCCTGGATGCCCTCCTCCTCCATGCTGCCGACACTCTCGCACGAGTCCTGCCGCCCCAGCTTGGCGGCCAGCTCCGGCGGGAGTGACACCTGCACCGTCAGGCGCCCCTGTCGCCCGCCCGTCGGCGCCCCGTCGGCACCATCTGTCTTGATGGACACTACCACGCTGTCGGACACGACGACATTGTCTACCACGACAGCATCTGTCGTGACGACAAAGGTGGCGCCCGGGTCGGCGACCTGGCACTCCTCCGCTACCGAAGCCATCACAATAAATATCACAGAGAATTAACGATCAACACTGATGTAGTTTGGGGTCAGGGGCGAGTGAACAGTCTTCAGGGCCTATAGACGAACAGTCTAGAAAACCCTTACTTCACTACAGACCGCGTGTGAGCACACTACCCTGGGGTGGACTGGCAGCTGCGACACGCCTCGCTCAACTGCCGCACTTCGAACCCCGCCCGCGATATATACTTTCACCCGTGACGTCACGCCGCGGGGCGGGGCCTCGCGCGCTGACGCAATTCCCGCCAAAACTATTTGCGGGTCTTTCTCTTCACTTCTGGACTTGGTTACACGTGTTTGACTTGCTCATACGACGCATAAACGGCCGCTGGGGTGGTTGGGAGGGTGAGAAGGGGTGGTTGTTGGGTAGTTGAGTGGTGGGGAGGTGGTTTGTGTGTTGGGGGGATGGTTGGGGGAGGAGCTGAGGGGGTGACAATGTTAAGGGCACCACAGGGCCACCCTCCCTTGCCGACCCCAGCCGCTGTCACTTTCGTCCGGGTCAGCCAGCTGTTGACACGCTGCTCTACACGCACCTCTCGACCCCTCTCACGCACCTCACGCAATTCTCGACCCTCCTCACGCAATTCTCGACCCTCCTCACGCAATTCTCGACCCTCCGCACGCACTTCCCCACCCTCTAACAACCGCTTTGGACCCTACTTACGCCAGATACGACCCTCCGCACGCCATTCCCAGCTGTCCACAAGCCTCGAACGAGAAAAATCGACCTTATTCCTTCAACACCAAACTCACCATTACAATAAATATGACAGAAATGCTCTCTGAGCTTCGCTATGACGTCCCTATATCAGCTCGCTATCTGTTTGGCCTGTCTACTGATTGTGTTGCTGTCCTCCCTGTTTGACTGTCCTCGCTATCTGCTAGCTGACAGCCTATTCCTTGCTATCTCCTCATTGTCTGCCAGATTTCGCTATCTCCCCCCTGTCTGCCAGACTTCGTTATCTCCTCCTTGTCTGCCAGACTTCGCTATCAGATCCCTACCTAGTCATCCCACAGAATCTACACTCACAGTCTGCTTATCACGAAGGGAAATCCACGAGTGGTGACAATCAGCGAAGTGTGTGGTCGTGTCTGCTCTCCTGGACTTTCCCTTGTGTGAATCATCTCTGCTGCTGCTGGCTGCTGGCACCTTCCCAGCGGGTCGTGACTTACCTTGCACCAGGTGGAGGAGGCTGCTCACGTCTTGAAGGAGTTCATCAATCAATCAAGCGGTGGTGTGGGATGGCTGCTATGTGTGTGGCTGTTTGGTGGTGGTCTGCGTCGACCAGACACCACACACACTAGAAGGTGAAGGGACGACGACGACGACGACGTTTCGGTCCGTCCTGGACCATTCTCAAAGTCGATTGTGTCGATTCTGCGATTTCGTGGCAATGTGTCGACTCGCGAAGGTGCTATGTTATTTTAGTTACATTATTTTTTCCTGTGTATAGAATACACAGAATGTTTATAACTGTGTATAATTTGCGTATAACTGAATCATGTATTTGGGTGATTAGTCTTGTATAAATGGTAATGTACTCACCTAATAGTCTAATAGCCTAATAGTCTAATAGTCTGTATGCCTGTGTTCGAGGGGTGGGGTTTGCGAACTATCAGAAGGAAAGCGCCAAGCCTTTACGACTGTATAGCACTGGAAAGGGGTCAGGATAAGGATTTGGGATAGGACGGAGGGAAGGAATGGTGCCACAACCACTTGTGGACGGTCGGGGATTGAACGCCGACCTGCATGTAGCGAGACCGTCGCTCTACCGTCCAGCCCAAGTGGTTGGGGGGGGGGAGGTTTTGATCTAGCTAATAAAGAAGTCGTCGTATATGAAATAGCTATAGTTTTGTCGTTAAAGGAAGATTAGTGATTGATTGATACTGCAAATACTGATTATTGATGGAAATACATCTCAAAGGGACAGAATAGACTAGGCTATAGTTGTTGTGTTAGATACAGCTACTCTGAAGAAAATGTCCATGTAGCACGGGCTATGGCGAGCCCGGAAGTTGGGCTAATTTCTACCCCTCGTGTATTTAACGTCCGTTACGGGTTATCTTGAAGTTATCTTGAGATGATTTCGGGGCTTAGCGTTCCCGCGGCCCGGTCCTCGACCAGGCGCATCAGGGTGAAAGGAACCCTACCCATTTGTTTCCGCCTCCACCGGGGGGGGGGGGGAGAGAGAGGAGGCGGGAACCTCAGGACTACGAATCCGAAGCGCTGTCCTCTCAGCTGTCAGGCCCCGCTCCTGTGCCAGGTAAGTTACGGACTCACCATAGCCCGTGCTACTTGCCCCGCTCCTGTGCCAGGTAAGTCCACTACGGGCTCACCATAGCCCGTGCTACTTGCCCCGCTCCTGTGCCAGGTAAGTCCACTACGGGCTCACCATAGCCCGTGCTACTTGCCCCGCTCCTGTGCCAGGTATGTCCACTACGGGCTCACCATAGCACGTGCTACTTGCCCCGCTCCTGTGCCAGGTAAGTCCACTACGGGCTCACCATAGCCCGTGCTACTTGGAGCTTGTCCCGAGTAACTAAATCTATAACAAGAGGTGGCACGGGCATGAATAGCCCGTACAATGTACACTGCGTATTAAAGTGTACAGCACAAGAGCACATATAAGATCTTCACGTTTTAATGTTAGAAGAACGTAATTCTAACGTTACGAAGTATGATGTCATTCAGGAATGTATATTGCTTTTTCCAAAGAAATTATTAATGCCAGCTCGGGGTGAATGTATCTGGGATGTCGTAATTATTACTCCCTCCTGTTTCTTTCATGTCGAGTTTTCAGTCATTTTGCCACTTTCTAATATGTCGCTGAGAAGCAATATCATCTTGGACTTGGACTTTAACCGTGCAACTACAGAGTCACTGTGTCACAGTCACTGTATTAGTCACTACAGTCACTGTATCTGAGTCACTGTGTCACAGTCACTACAGACTCACTATATCACAGTCACTACAGTCACTGTATTAGTCACTACACTCACTATCACAGTCACTGTATCAGAGTCACTACAGACTCACTGTATCATTCACTACAGTCACTGTATCAGTCACTACAGACTCACTGTATCAGTCACTACAGTCACTGTATCATTCACTACAGACTCACTGTATCAGAGTCACTACAGTCACTGTATCAGTCACTACAGACTCACTGTATCAGAGTCACTACAGTCACTGTATCAGTCACTACAATACTACAGTCAGATGTGATGATGTTGTTGGTGTTATAGATTCAGCTACTCGGAACAAGTTCCAAGATACTATATAAATATAGTATCTCGCATTTCATTGGGGAATCGAACATTGTATTTTTCGAATGGTTTCTGCAGTCATTGACCTCTCCCACTCTCTCCCCTCTCAATTTTTTTTTTTATTAATACATGAGGTACATGTATTAATTATTAGTGCCCCCCCCTCTCAATTTTTTTTTATTAGGTACATCTGCATTAGTGCAGCTACCCTAGACTATATGAAGTGGAGTACAGTGTGTCAAAAAAGCTAACTAGGTGATGCTAAAAAAATCCCCATCACACAGGATGGTTAGTCATACAGAGGCATGTGATAGGCAGTCTGCACTGGCAGACTCCGGATGCATTTTGAGGATATCATCAACACAAGAGTGAATAAGGCAGCAGTGGTAATACAAGTCCCCATCTCGCAGGAGGGTTAGTCATACAGGGACATATGTTTAGTAGCCTGAACTGGCAAATTTTGGGTGTAATATGAGGATATCTTCAAGAACACGAGAGGTAATAAAGTAATTGCAAAGCTCCAGGTACCTCATACCAACTGGTCTGAAAGGTCTAATAACTGGGAACAAATCCACAAGGGCCGTGACGAGGATTCGAACCTACGTCCGAGAGGATCCCAGACGCGCCAAATCCCTTGTGGATTTGTTTATTTTGATGCATCACGCTATTGTGATTTCTGTGTGTAATATATGTACTAGTTTTACCCGAGGGAGGGGATAAGCATAAGCATTAACATAATAATTAAAGTGCCAAAAATCGTACAGAGCAAATAATTTTCTCGGCTTGACATTCAGTGTGAAAGACTCGACTTAAGCTTTGCAGCCGTTGTTGTTGTTGTTATAGATTCAGCTACTCGGAACAAGTTCCAAGTAGCACGGGCTATGGTGAGCCCGTAACTTACCTGGCACAGGAGCGGGGCAAGTAGCACGGGCTATGGTGAGCCCGTAGTGGACTTACCTGGCACAGGAGCGGGGCAAGTAGCACGGGCTATGGTGAGCCCGTAGTGGACTTACCTGGCACAGGGGCGGGGCAAGTAGCACGGGCTATGGTGAGCCCGTAGTGGACTTACCTGGCACAGGAGCGGGGCAAGTAGCACGGGCTATGGTGAGCCCGTAGTGGACTTACCTGGCACAGGGGCGGGGCAAGAAGCGCGGGCTATGGTGAGCCCGTAAGGACTTACCTGGCACAGGGGCGGGGCAAGAAGCGCGGGCTATGGTGAGCCCGTAACTTACCTGGCACAGGGGCGGGGCAAGAAGCGCGGGCTATGGTGAGCCCGTAGTGGACTTACCTGGCACAGGGGCGGGGACTTACCTGGCACAGGGGCGGGGCAAGTAGCACGTGCTATGGTGAGCCCGTAGTGGACTTACCTGGCACAGGGGCGGGGCAAGTAGCACGGGCTATGGTGAGCCCGTAGTGGACTTACCTGGCACAGGAGCGGGGCAAGTAGCACGGGCTATGGTGAGCCCGTAACTTTGTGCGTGTGCATGTGTGCGTGTGCGTGTGCGTGTGCGTGTGCGTGTGTGTGTGTTGTGTGTGTGTGTGTGTGTGTGTGTGTGTGTGTGTGTGTGTGTGTGTGTGTGTGTGTGTGTGCGCGCGCGTGTGTGCGCGCGCGTGTGTGCGTGGAGGTTATGGGGGTACTAAGGTGGGGTAGAATTAGAGGTCACGCTGCGTGCGTGTGCGTGCATGGCAAGAGTGGTGTGAGGGTGGTGGGGGGGGGGGGAGAGGTGAGTGAGGGGTGGAGTAGTAGAGTTGAGGGCGGGGGGGAGGGGGGAGGGTATGGGGCAGGGTGGAGAGATGGGGGGGAGGGGCAAAACAAGGCCAAGGTCTACTGGTTGTTGAGATCCACCTGGCTGTTGTTTCTATCACCTTACATGTTGCTTCCCTGCCCCCCTCCCTCCCCCC